CATATCAACGATTAAGTATTTTTAATTAGCATCTGAAACTTCTATTAAACTATTTGACTTCCAAAGTGATACATAAACAAGCAAATTTGAGAATAGATGCTGATCAATATTATATATTCTATTATATTGAGTGCAAAGCTCATAAACTATATCTCTAAGAGTTTTATAATTGAGTATCATTTTTTTTTCTTATTCCCATGAGATCTAAGTGAAGAGAAACTCATAACCAAATTCCTGCTATTCACAATGTTTCCATTGGGTGTAGCTATGATATTAGATAGGTTAATGTCACAGTCTGTGTATTCAAGAAGGACGCCCGGACATTTGAGGATTTGCAGTGACATTCTTTGTCTTATGCATTAAATTGTATTAGTCAACTGTATGTTCTATGGGGAAAATCAAACAAAACATTTTAAAATCAATTGGGTCAAGAAGGATTTCAATGTCCTTTTTTTCCAAAACGATGAAATCTAAAAAGTAAAACACCCATGTTAAAATTTAATCAACAATAATTTCCACATAGTTTTCTTGCTTTTAAATTTTTACAAAACAATATAACTCATACCTAGTTTGAATGCCTGCTGCATAAACAGGCATCTGTTGTATCAACTGGGATAAATAAGAAGAAAATCCACAAACAATGCCATTCCTTGATTCAATGATAGGTCTGAGCAGAGTGTCTTAAAATATCTGTTTATGCTAAACGGGGGAAAAAAAAAAGTATTTCTCCTAAAATGCAAGGGCAGCTTACATGCTAAGATGAAAACTGCTAACTCCTTTCTTAACAACACCATATGTCTCCAATTGGATCATAATGCAGTTGGTTCTTGAGGGGATGTTATGCATGGGAGATAACCAGATCAAGGCATAGTCTCTGCTGTATGTTCACTCACTGATTTACTGGTCATCATCTGCTTTGGGTCTTCCACATCACCCAGTGTCAGTGTGAAGGGTCATCTTGCTTTTCTGACCACCCACCCACCCACTAAATCATAAACAAAACAAAACAACTCCTGACTCTTCCACAAGAACATTTTTTTTTGCCCACATTTCCCTTCTGTATAACCTTGAACTAGTATAAGGAACTGAAATACTCCACCCCTATACTCTTTAAGGAGCTTTAACACTGCATGGTGGCACAAACACTTTTGAAATCAAGCTTAGTTTTCCTTCCTGAGAATCATCATACTGTAAAAAGCAAAAAACAAACAAGCAAGCAAAACCCAAAAACAAACAACAACAACAACAGCAAAAAAAAAAACATTCATCACAAAGATAGTTCTTTACTTATTGGAATTTTCCCCAGTTTAACCCTTCAGTCTTTTAAGTTTTTGTGCATTAGTGAAAGTACATTTTTTAAATTTAACTTATCTATTCTCAAGTACTTTACATGTAACTTGCTGCCAGATTAATATCAAGTTGAGGCATTTATAATGCTGATATACATGGTATATTTGACTTTTCTTATGCTGAATATAACTCCTGAGAGCATGAAGTTATATCTTTTATTATAACATTTGTAGAACCTTAAGAATTTGCCTGAAAATTCCCCCATACAAAATGCCATGGGGTAGTCTAATTTGGGACTTCTCCAATTATCTCTAATGAATGGATGGTATTTTTTTCAAAAGTTTCTGTCTGTCAGTAATCGATATTCTTGTAAAATTTAAAATTTGGCATTTAGAATTCCTGGCAGTGTCAAATTGCCATAAATGTTTCTGATTGCTTACTTTCCTTTCTGTACTTTTCTTGTCATGGACTTCTAGGAAATGCTTGGAGACGGGCATCAATCTGTGGACTCCACTGTGAATATCACTGTTTAATATTTTATAAACTACAAACTACAAGGTGTCAACATTAATGATAAGAGTTATAACTTTCCCTAATGTTTTAAACGCACTCTTTGTTAATGAACTTTGCTGTGTTTTTTTCTTCTATTTTACTTTAGCCAAGAAAATGTTCATATAAAAAGCCAAAGAAGATACGCTAAGAAACTTTTGAGAAAGATGAGTTAGTGTGTCATACTTCATAGTGGAATAGGGAGTGGGAGCATGGGAGGAATAGATGAACTCTAGATAGGGCAGAGGGGTTGGAGGGGAAGGGAGGGGGCTTGGGTTTTTAATGATGGTAGAATGTGATGATCATTATTATCCAAAGTACATGTATGAAGACACAAATTGGTGTAAATATACCTTGTATGTAACCAGAGCTACGAAAAATTGTGCTGTTTATGTGTAATAAGAATTGTAATGCATTCTGCTGTCATATATAAATAAAAAAATAATAATATACATTCATGCCACTCCACTGAGCCTCAGGATGCTAAAACCAGAGGACTGAGAGTTCAAAGTCAGCCTCAGCAAAAGCAAGACACTAAGCAACTCAGTGAGACCCTGTCTCTAAATAAAATACAAAATAGGGCTGGGGGTGTGGATTAGTGGTTAAGTACCCCTGAGTTCAACCTCCAGTACCCTTCCCCTCAAAAAATACAGATTTATAAAAGCAAAGTTTTTCTTTCCAGTGACCAGGGAAGGGCCTTAGCACATAATCATTTTAAAAATAGCAATAGGCCTTCTTAATGACACTTCTTACCTGGGATGCCTGGTGGTGTTTTCAGATATTTTCCATTAAAATGTTGAATTACCACTTCACATTTTTCAGTAGACTCCATTCTGGCAAAAGAAAGTAAACAGGGGATCATATACTTTTGTCAAGTTGTGCACATAAAAAAAAATAAAATTATATATATATAAATAAAAGAGAGACAGGTGGGAGGAGAGAGAGAATGCAGGGAGGAAGGAAAGAAATTACAAAATGAAAACGAAAGGCAATGGAAAGGTTTGAGAAATTTACTCTTATTGTCAACTTTTGCTGTGACTGTGATGACCAGGCTGATAAAGAACATCACAAAGCCATCATCTTTGTTGAAAGTATCATTCCCTGTAGTGAAAATCGCCCATGTGGATGACTCTCTGCTGGAGCTTCACCCAGAGGAAGCCCAGAGACATTATCTTACTTAATTCACACAAGAATGTTTGGCAACTGAAAACGTTCCATAAATGCCTACCAAGTGAATGAATTAGCCAATCTGAAAGGTAGGTCATGTCAACAAGGGCACTCAGGCTTGAAGACATGAACTATTTTTTTAATAAGTGGTAGAATCAGTATTTGAACGGATCGCTATCCAACACTAAAGTCTATTCTATAACTGCGAAGCCATACCACAGAGGAATTCACCAACCAAGGTGAGGAGACATGTCTTATTTAAACAGCTCTTAGCATACAGCAGGGACTAACCCAGTTAGTCACATCAGCACCATGACACTTTTGTTGAAGACACACTATGTGAAAGACACCCAAAGAGAGTTATTTGGGACCCTGCATGTGGGAGAAGGATAGAAATACAACAACCTCAGAACTTATACTTTCTTAATTTTGAAATTTGGACGGTCGCCTCCTTTATTTTTTAGTACTAGAATTCCAATATTCCTGAACTGGGGGTTCTCATGCAGAATTTGGGCATCTCATATACAATTAAAGGAATGAATGTTTTGAACCATTCCACCATAATTTCGATTTTGGCAGTGTTGACATGTCTTAAGTACTGAAGCATTCGTAACAATTTTTAAATAATGAATTATATCTGCATCTTGTTTTATAAAATTAAATGGAGAAGATAAAAATTAAAAGTTGATTCTGATGAAAGGAAATTAAGTCCCACAAAAATAAACTAGAGGCAAAAATAAGCTTAAGAAGCAGCACGCATATTCATGAAAAAAGATGTGCATGAAATGTGTGAAATTTGTCCAAAAGGCAAAGTATAATTTTAGATTTTCTGCTATGTTATTAATATGAGCATTCTTGCAATGGATACCATCGATACAAGTTGTCAAACATTCCTACATTTAAATTTTATGTGTGTTTTCAGAAACCTAATACATGACCATATTACATGTAGGGGAAACAAGAAAAAAATATGTTAACAATTGCCAAATAAGTAATACACATTTATTGTTGCTACAAGAATTTAAATATAAGAGGCACCTCAAAACCCAGGAAAATGCTGAAAAGTTGGCATAGAGGCAGAAAAGGCCTTTGGAGAACTTAGTTAACGCCTGGACTGAGCTGGGGAGGAAGAGGTCTGGGCCCCTCTGTACAATGAGGCAGAGAGAGCCAGCCACATAGCTGAGTGGAAAGTTCAACTGGAGTCTTAGAGACAGACTGGGAGATCTAAACAGGGTATCTGTAAGACCTGGTGAACAAAGTTAAAAATCATATCAGAAACTCCATTAGAGAGCTGTAATCATTTCCTGCCAAATCTTTAAAGTTTGTTTTCAGATGTACATTCCTGTGATTCATGAGATGAAATCTTCCTATATTGCTACCCATGGCAAATCCCTACCACCAACCAGGTCCAACTTCATGGGCATGATACCTGTATCCTTCCTTACACAGAGCCCTCCCATAGAACAACATGCATTTGATTGAAAGCTCTGCTATCACCATCTTAAAATTCTTGATATTTATTTTGTCTTAATAAGGGGCTCCACATCATCATTTTTTCATTGGGCCTCATGACTTATGTTGTTGATCTGGCTATTAATGCAAGAAACCAATGTGAGGTCAATAGGTCATTATTCATTTTATCAAATGACACAAAAGATCCACATAAATGTTATTTGGGGAAAAATCTTAAGATTGAGTTGATGTATACATAAAAATATGTAAGCCATCATAGTATAAAGTTTTAATAAAGAAGAACAAAGATAGCATTTTGCAAATCAAAAGCTAGTTCATAATAGAGATAAGATGAATCTTTCCTTATTCTAAACATTAGGGCCAGCTAAATATAATTTGCCCAACTCTTTTAAGTTGTCTTTCCAGTGGAATGTTTTATTATAAGTCTTCCAATGTGTTCAGATTTTTTTTTCCTTTTTGTAAGTAGGAAACTTCCATTTCTAAGAACAAATGAATTCTAACTGTGTTCTGTCTTCCCACAGGATCTACTACCTATTGTCTCAGGGAAAATAACCTTTCCTCCTAGCAGAGACATGAATGGGAGAGGAAATGTAAGCCCTTAATTACTACAGATGTTACTTTATGGAATTTTTATTCTAGGAGAGCTACAGAATGAAAAGCCTATGCCCTAGAGCCCCCTCCCTGCTCAATCTCTCTCTGGGTACTCATCCAGCTAAAAGGCAGTTAAGACTCTAAAACTTGCTTGCAGAAGTCCTCAAATCAAATCCTTTCTCTTTGCGCCTTAAAATGACATGGAATTCTGAAAGAAGACCCAACCTACATGGGGTTAGTGTTAAGTTGATTCTACATTATGTGTTTTAGGGGACACAGAGGAAGCTAAGAAAGAAAATCATTCATTCCCCCCACCTACAATATTTCAGTGGTTTGAAAGCTTCCAGTCTTCCCATCTGAATTCTAATTATGATCATCTTTTCTTAAAGCTGTTTTACAGCCATATCAGGCTGGATGGGGGCTGTTTCTATGAACACAAAGACAGCAGCATAGATTGTTCACTTTGGGTTCATTCAGATTTAACTAAGTGAAGTCTGCTGTGAGCCTTTAGAGACTCTTCTCTGAAAGAACACGTGCAATAAAATTCTGTTTTCTGTAGCTGCCGGCATTTAGTGTCAAACCACGTTATGCTGCACCACCCAGGAGTGACAATTTCATTTTAAATGCATGGGGCACATTTTAACAAGGCCACTCCCAGCAAAGATGGCAATAAAGGAGTGGCCAAGGGGAAAAGGTTCAGTATTCCTCATGCATTTTATGTGGAAACAGAACAAAAGTGGGGCCCAGAGAGGTGGGGCGGGGGTCAGTAGCAGCCTGTATTGGAATAACCATCTCAGGAAGAATGTGCCCATTTTCTTCTCAAGTTCCACAATTAAGGGCTCTGAAATGCCAGCTCAGGCTATCTGAAATCTGGCACACGCTTCAGTTGAAACTGACACTAGCATTATCAAGTGAGCCTGAAAGACAGCACACCAGATGCAGCTGCCTTTGCATGTGCCTTTCAGACGGGCCACTGAATCACTACAAGTGCATCTATTCTTCCTAGGTGCTACCTGAGCCCCCTCTCATCCGTCAGAACAGCTCGGAGTGCCAGGCCAACCATTCACCTGACAATACATTAATTGGGCTCTTACAAGGCTCCAGTCATTGTATAAAAGATTCAGGGTTTTCTGTTAGGTCGGATTTTTAAATATAAATATACATTAAAGGTCCTGTTTGACATACTTTCTTGTCTGAGTGCCTAAGAATGGCTGGTTTCAGTCATTTGAAATGTGCCATAGAATTGTGCCACTCCCCTGCTCCCAGCCACCCCTCTTTTTAAACAACAGCTAAGAGGAGATGATTTCACAGCCAATACAATTCCCACAGGCAAATTACATCAGATGAGAGCCTGATCCAATATTAGTAGCATGTTCTGTGTCAGACTTAACACACGGAGGTAGAAAAAGTATTTAGCAAACCATCTGCAGCCTACCTATCTCACCTCAACAGCGAATCTCTTGGTTTATAATCTTAAAGTTATTAGTATTATTAAACATGTATTTAAAACAAGTCCACTCTGTCATTTATTATGGTTAATTAGAGGCTTCCACTATTGTGAAATGTTTGTGGTTTTGCAATCCCAGGCTGTGTACAAATTATTGGCAAACTTAGAACATCCAATGTTGAAAGCCAAGCCTCCTCATTTCCGGTAAGATTTACGCAAAGAGTCAACATTAAAAAGTTTTTTTTTTTTAAGTACTAAAATGTGCACTCCTAATATTTCATAAACAAATTATGTCATTTTTAGTCCAGCATCCCCAGTGAGTACTAGAGACAAAAGATGAATGGAGGAGTTGAATTTTCTTCTTAGATTTTGCAATTTGTTTACTTCCTGTCTGATGTCTAATATTCCTAGGATACAAGCGTCACAGATGTCACATGGAAAAGTAAAGGGGCTGCCCTGCTATCCTCTTTTGTATATACTTGGACATCTTGGAGATGTCTTGCTCGGTATATAATGTATTACCTCTTAGGAAATTCAACTATGGATAATATTTGACTAATGAAACCCCTCTCCAGAGTTTTTGGAATCATTTAATTTTAGGAATGGAAATGGCCTCAGATAGACATTCTTGATAGCACAAATGAAGAAATCAACATTGGAACACTGTGATTGGCTTCCCTAAAGATTCATTAGTGTATGGTCCTGGAAGAGGACCTTTGCCTCTTGACTCAATTCAGACAGCTTATTTAAAAGAATTGAAGATCACTGCTTGCCAGTCAACCCTCTGGATTTCCTATACTGACTTGTCCACTTCAAACTGCTAGAAGCTGAATGAGACCTGCTATCTCTTCTCCACTGGCCACTATTAATTAGAGCAATCATTTTAAAACATGGTGATTAAACCATGATATGATGAGAAAGCCACTTCATCCCAATGGCATTCTTTCTAGAAATCCATATGTAATATAGGTCCTATCATGATAAAAACATCAAAAAACAGATCTGGAGGAATTCTCCAGGATGCAGAATCAGTACTATTCAAGGAGAACAAAGAAATCTGAGAAAATCCCAAAGACCAGAGCAGGCCCCTGAGACAGGACAATTGAACTAACATGGTATCCTTGATTAGAGTCTGGACCAGAAAGATAATATTATTAGAAAACTTAGTGACATCCAAATAGAGTCTGTTGCTAACAATAATATGCCAAAGTCAGTTTCCTAATTTTTTTTTGTGGGGGAGGGAGTACCAGAGATTGAACTCAGGGGCACTTAACCACTAAGCCACATCCCCAGCCCTGTATTGTACTCTATTTAGAGACAGGGTCTCACTGAGTTGCTTACCTCCTTGCTTTCTTTGAGGCTGGCTTTGAACTGGCGATTCTCCTGCCTCAGCCTCCCAAGTCGCTGGGATTACAGGCATGTGCCATGGCACCCAGCCCACTTTTCTAATTTTGGCAAATTAAATGTGCCATGGTAATGTAAGGTGTCAACAATAGGGGAAATTGATGTGCAATATGGGAGAAATCTGTATTATCTGCACAAGTTTTCTGTAAATGTAAACTTATTCCAAAACAAAATTTTTATTTTTTAAAGAAAATCACTAACAAAAACAAATAATCCAATCAGTAAATGGGCCAATAAACTGAACATACATTTCTCAGAAGATGATATTTAATCAATCAACAAATATATGAAAAAAAGTTCGACATCTCTAGCAATTAGGGAAATGCAAATCAAAACTACTCTAAGATTTCATCTCATTCTAGTCAGAATGGCAGCTATTAAGATTATAAACAACAGTAAGTATTGGCGAGGATGTGGGGGAAAAGGTACACTTATATATTGCTGGTGAGACTGCAAATTGGTGCAACCAATATGGAAAGCAGTATGGAGATTCCTTGGAACACTGTGAATACAACCACCATTTGATCCAGCTATCCCTCTCCTAGTCTATATTCAACTTAAAAACAGTATAAAACAGGGACATAGCCACATCAATGTTTATAGCAGCACAATTCACAATAACTAAACTGTGGAACCAACCTAGATGCCTGTCAGTTGATGAATGGATAATGAAAATGTGGTATATGTACACAGTGGAATACTAATCAGCATTCAAAAGAAAATAAAATCATGACATTTGCAGGTAAATGGATGAAGTTGGAGAATATAATGCTAAGTGAAGTTAGCCTATCCCCCAAAACCAAATGTCGAATGTTTTCTCTGATATAAGGATGCTGATTTATAATGGGGTTGGGGGGATCATGGGTGGATTAGACGAACTCTAGATAGAGCAAAGGGGAGGGAGGGAAAAGAAGGGGGTATAAGTGTAAGACAGATGGTGGAATGCGATGGACATCATTACCCTAAGTACATGTATGAAAACATGAATGGTGTGACTCTACTTTGTGTACAACCAGAGATGTGAAAAATTGTGCTCTACATGTGTAATAGGAATTGTAATTCATTCTGCTATCATGCATAACAAATTAGAATAAAAAATAAAAAGCACCTAAACATCTAAAAAAAATCATTAAAACAATCAGGAAACCATGTTGAAAATTTCCAGTGTCTTGGGCTGACCCAGGAGGTCCTGACACAATTGCTTGGCTTGACGTCTAGGCATGAAGTTTAAAGCTGACCAGGTGACTGATTCTGTGTGCAACCATGTTAGAAACTATCGTTCTAGAGTTCTATGTCAGATATCTCAGACTGGAAACCGTGAGAGAAATCCTTTTAATAGGTATCCTTTGTTTGGACTGCAAAGCCCTTTTGGAAAATCTGAAAGAATTGAGAATGCTTAGAAATCAGGTGTCTTCACATGGAGATTTTGTGTTTCTCACCAAAGGTGAGATTGTCTGACCCATGATTTCTTCATGGCAAATGTGGCATAATTAAAAATATTATTGGTCTTTGCCCCAGTTTCCTGCTTGAGTGACAGGAATATTTTTGTTATTCTGAATAGACTCTTTTTGATCCCACCTAGGTTTATGCTAATGTGGTCACTTGGGATGCGGGCTAGGTAGCCTCAAAATGGGGGCTAGTCACCTAAGACCAAGATCTGATTCATGGATTGAAACCTTCAGCTCTACCCTTCAACTTCTGAGGACTGGAGTTGGAGCTGGAGATAGACCATCTTCACCAATGGTCACCTCCATGAGAACCTTCATGAGGTCTACACACAAGGTTTGGGGAGCTTTCAAGTTGGTGAAAATAATGATGTTCCAGAAATGTGGTGAGCCCAGAGAAGGCATAGAAGTTCAACATCCATTCTCTTATACCTTGTCCATATGCATCTATTCATTTTTGGCTATTCCTGAGTCATAAAATGTTTTTATGAGTCATTTTAGTGAGTTATTGAGCCTGAGGATAGTTTGCGGTGACTTTCAAATTAGTAGTTGTCGAGTTAATTGTGAGTATCCCAAGCATCCCATCTGCAGCTGGGTTGGGACAGAGTCCTTACACCTGTGGAGCATGAGGCTAACTCGAGGTAGGTAGTGTAAAAATTGACAAGAAGTGTGGGACATTCAATGTCACAGAGTTGAAGAATTG